GTAGAAATTGAATTACCATATAAAAAAGGATTCACATAAATCAAAGGAAAACCATGTACAGAAGTATGATAAATTGTTGCAAGAATAACATTGCAACAAAATCAAAGAACCATTATTATGCTCAATCATTCTTAAACACTGACGACAGAAAAAAAATTTTTTAATATTCTCTGAAAATGAAATTAAAAGCCCTCTAAAAAGGGAAAAAATTTGTCAACATTTTTTCCATTCCTGGAGGATGTGTTAATAAGCAGTGACACATACTTTCTTGAGGGTCTTGATTATTTATTTAACCCGTTAACGATCCAAACGTAAATAACGTTTTTTCAACTTTTGGATGAAAAAAAAAGTAGATTTTCTTTCTTTTTTTTAATTTGTTGTAAAAAAAACGTAGATCACTTTTGTAGCACTACACATGTGAACTAGATCTGCTTGGGGCCGTTTTTTTTTAATGCAACTTCACTATATCCAAAAATGTGGAAAATTTTATGTCCTTCAACACAAGGACTGCACTACACTATCCTAAAGTATTAAATCTAACCCTTCCACCAGGGAGAATATGTGAAATAATTTGCCAATTCACGTCCAAAAAACCTTAAAAAAAAAAAAAAAGCAGTTTTGGGGCAATCTACAAACTACCTCACACAAAACTTAACTTTAGAACAACTTAAAAAAATACAAAAACTGACTCAGAGATGAAAAAACACAAAAGCTACTTTCTTTTACAAAAAAAAAACCCCATTTAAGCGCTAACCTGAATAACTGATTTCACAAACAATGAGGAACTACTAAACCAACAATAATCACAGAGACAAGTGCCTCACTACCTAATCATATCTGGACCAATACTATATCCCCACTAAAAGTAGGCATACTCACAGACAACACTACAGATCACTACCCAACATTCCTCAACCAACTTGGGTAGCGAGCCTCAGGACATGACTAAGATCTCTTTTCGACTACATGATGAGTCATCAGTAAATAATTTTATTTATTATTTTATTATCACACCGGCCGATTCCCACCAAGGCAGGGTGGCCCGAAAAAGAAAAACTTTCACCATCATTCACTCCATCACTGTCTTGCCAGAAGGGTGCTTTACACTACAGTTTTTAAACTGCAACATTAACACCCCTCCTTCAGAGTGCAGGCACTGTACTTCCCATCTCCAGGACTCAAGTCCGGCCTGCCGGTTTCCCTGAATCCCTTCATAAATGTTACTTTGCTCACACTCCAACAGCACGTCAAGTATTAAAAACCATTTGTCTCCATTCACTCCTATCAAACACGCTCACGCATGCCTGCTGGAAGTCCAAGCCCCTCGCACACAAAACCTCCTTTACCCCCTCCCTCCAACCCTTCCTAGGCCGACCCCTACCCCCGCCTTCCTTCCACTACAGACTGATACACTCTTGAAGTCATTCTGTTTCGCTCCATTCTCTCTACATGTCCGAACCACCTCAACAACCCTTCCTCAGCCCTCTGGACAACAGTTTTGGTAATCCCGCACCTCCTCCTAACTTCCAAACTACGAATTCTCTGCATTATATTCACACCACACATTGCCCTCAGACATGACATCTCCACTGCCTCCAGCCTTCTCCTCGCTGCAACATTCATCACCCACGCTTCACACCCATATAAGAGCGTTGGTAAAACTATACTCTCATACATTCCCCTCTTTGCCTCCAAGGACAAAGTTCTTTGTCTCCACAGACTCCTAAGTGCACCACTCACTCTTTTTCCCTCATCAATTCTATGATTCACCTCATCTTTCATAGACCCATCCGCTGACACGTCCACTCCCAAATATCTGAATACGTTCACCTCCTCCATACTCTCTCCCTCCAATCTGATATTCAATCTTTCATCACCTAATCTTTTTGTTATCCTCATAACCTTACTCTTTCCTGTATTCACCTTTAATTTTCTTCTTTTTGCACACCCTACCAAATTCATCCACCAATCTCTGCAACTTCTCTTCAGAATCTCCCAAGAGCACAGTGTCATCGGCAAAGAGCAGCTGTGACAACTCCCACTTTGTGTGTGATTCTTTATCTTTTAACTCCACGCCTCTTGCCAAGACCCTCGCATTTACTTCTCTTACAACCCCATCTATAAATATATTAAACAACCACGGTGACATCACACATCCTTGTCTAAGGCCTACTTTTACTGGGAAAAAAATTTCCCTCTTTCCTACATACCTAATGAGCCTCACTATCCTCGTAAAAACTCTTCACTGCTTTCAGTAACCTACCTCCTACACCATACACTTGCAACATCTGCCACATTGCCCCCTATCCACCCGTCATACGCTTTTCCTACAAGTTTTGAGTTTGCAGGTTTTGTCTGAAATCTGCATAAAGGGCAATGTGTAGTTTCCCAGTTTTTGTAATTTTTAAGTACTGTACCAGTAAAGGGTTCGGGGTAGTGATGATCTTTATAAGCCTAAAAATTTTTTTAAGCAGAAATTTTAACACAGCTAGCAAGAAATCCTTACTTTTTTTTCCTGCTACCAGGTTTTCACAGGATATTAAAACCTTAATTGAAGGACCCTTTAACAGATCTTGGATTTAAATGGGCAAAATCTACTGCCCAAAACATCTGGCCAGCCACTCAGCCAAAATTTTTTATCTTGTGGCCAATTCACCTACCAATGGTTCAAGTTTAGTTTGTAATTCATATACACAAAGACATAAATTAGTACAAAAAAATTATAAGGAAAATAATCATAATTGCTACAAAATTGGGCCCAAAAATTTTTGAAACCTTGTATGTTTAAAAAAAAAAATATGGCAACGGATAGACACCAAAAATGAGCATAAAAAAAAGAGAAAAATTTTCCAAAAATTCAATCATATGTTCCTCCTTTCCCTCCACCTAACCCTGGCCCCAAAATTGTGTGTCGTTGCACACAAGTTTTGACGTGATAATTTTGCTAAAATTACTCCTCCTTCCCCAGGAGGCTTCTTGATGTGGTGAGGGACTTATCGAAGAACTGGCCCTTTCAAATGCCTTGAATTGACTCTGATGCCTTTCATTCCCCCTAGGTGCTGTAGATTTTGGGGGGTTTTGATTCCCTTTTTATGCTGTAAAAAATTTTTTTTTCCTCCCTCCCCCCAAACCCCTTTAAAATGAAAATATCGGCCAACAAAAATTTGTCGGCGGCACCCATACTTCTTGATTTGGGAAAGACACCAAAATGGAAACTAAATAGAATTTTACAAAAATTTTCCCCTGGATCCCATTATCCCTGCTTCTTTTTCCGTTTTTTTCTTGTAAATGTCACAAAAATCATTTAGGTTCATTAACAATTTATTTTAAAAACATGAAGTGGTGCTGGGCTCGGGGGAACATAAAAGCAAATTTTTACCAAAAATAGTAATTCTGGTAAAAATTTGTTTACATATAAAAAGGTTCACAAAAATCAAAAAAAAACCCATGTACAAAAGTAGAAAAATTTTGCAAGAAAACTTTGAAACTTTTAATAAAAGAAACACATTATATATGCTTCAATCATTAACATGACGACTGACAAAAAATTTAATGTTTCTGGGAAAATGAATATTAAAAATACCCTCGAAATGGGAAAAATGTTTTCAATCTTTTTTTTCCCTTTCCCGGGGGAGTGTTAATAAGCATGACACAACTTTCTTGGGGTCTTGATTTTTTTTAACCCGAAAAATCCCAAAAGTATATACGTTTTTTTAAAATTGGAAGTATGTAAAAAAAGTAGATTTTTTCTGTTTTTTTACATTTGAAAAAATTAAAAAAAACAGATTTACTTTTGTATCCTACCAAGTGAAAGTAGATTGCTTGGGGCCGTTTTGGGTTAATGCAACTTCACTTTTCCTAATATGTGGTGTTTTTTGTCTTTTTAACCAAAAAGGTACGGGTATAGCATTCCTAATGTTTAAATGTATTAAAACTTTCCACCCGGGTGAATATGGGGAATTATATTTTCCAAATTCACGTCCAAAAAAACCCTTAAAAAAAAAAAAAATAGCAGTTGGAGCAAACACAAAATACCCCCTAATATTACAGTTTAGTAAAACTTAAGAAATCAAAACTGACTCAGAGATGAATAAAAACAACCTGCTCTTTCGGGGACAATAAACCCATTCAAGCAGCTAATTTTTGAGTAATGATTTCAAAACACTATGAGGAAACTAAACCAAAAAGAAACACAGAGACAAATGTCACTACCAATTTATATCGGACCAATACTATACCCCAAAAAGTAGGCAACTCACAGCAACACTACAGACACTACCCAACACCTCAACCTTTTTGGGGGGTAGCGAGCCCCAGGAAGATAAGATTTCTTTGACACTTTATAGTTAAGTAAATTAAATTTTTTTACGGCCCCTTTCGTAACTGGGTGGTGGGTGGTTAGCGACAGCCGTTTTATATATAAATTGTACTCCTCATATTAATAATAGAGTGAAATATTAAATATTTGTAATCTACCACTCATCACCTGTCTCAACTTAGGTAGTCTTTATATATTAGGTTAAGTCTGCCCGAAATACCTCGGCATGATAGTGGCTTTCTTAGTACCAATCAAATTATGAAATGTAAACACACACTGTAACCTTTGCAAAGAAATAAAATTTTGATTTTGATCTGATTTAAAACGGTACTCCAAAACTAAAAACCCTTAAAGTGCATTTTCTAACTGATCTGATGTGTGCTCAGTTTACATGAGTTTTACATCAGTCTGAATAAGACAAAACACTAAATATTATTACTAGGTACTGTATTCATATTTTCATTAAATTCATAGAACAATACTTTTTGTGTCAAATGCTTTTCAAATTACAGTAATTTCCTTTACAGAAGTAACTGATTTAGACTCATGAAGGTGTAATAACATGATCACAAACAAATCAAGGAATTGGTGGGGTTAGAACCCATGGCAAGCTAGTTTGAGGACTAGTGTGCCATGAGTTCAATCCTCACCCATTCCATGAGTTAAAGTGATTGATCCATACCTCTTTAGTGAGTGTGAAGGCTGCCAAGTCTGTGACTGGAGGTTGTGTGTTGGGCATGGCACAGATGAGTGTGATACCTCCGGCCAGGGCTGCAGCAGTGCATGATGCCCAGTCCTCCTTGTGGGTGCCACCTGTCACCACAACTTAGTTTAATTATATACGTAAAGCATTTTTAAATAAAAACTAGATACAGTTTGATCATTATTATTTTTTTTTTATCACACTGGCCGATTCCCACCAAGGCAGGGTGGCCCGAAAAAGAAAAACTTTCACCATCATTCACTCCATCACTGTCTTGCCAGAAGGGTGCTTTACACTACAGTTTTAAAACTGCAACATATACACCCCTCCTTCAGAGTGCAGGCACTGTACTTCCCATCTCTAGGACTCAAGTCCGGCCTGCCGGTTTCCCTGAACCCCTTCATAAATGTTTCTTTGCTCACACTCCAACAGCACGTCAAGTATTAAAAACCATTTGTCTCCATTCACTCCTATCAAACACGCTCACGCATGCCTGCTGGAAGTCCAAGCCCCTCGCACACAAAACCTCCTTTACCCCCTCCCTCCAACCTTTCCTAGGCCGACCCCTACCCCGCCTTCCTTCCACTACAGACTGATACACTCTTGAAGTCACTCTGTTTCGCTCCATTCTCTCTACATGTCCGAACCACCTCAACAACCCTTCCTCAGCCCTCTGGACAAGTTTGATCATATTAAGGTAATTTAAGGAGATAGGACTTGGCATAGAGGGGTAGCATACTGGCTTGCTAGTTTCTGAACTGCCTCGCCATGAGTTTGAACCCTCCATTCAGTGAGTTACAAGGTGGTATCCCCGGTCTACTCTCTCAATACAGATAGATTATAGCTTAAAAAGATTTTGTAAAACAATGATAAAAAAAAATGTTTCCCATACTTCCTCTTCCACTCATTTAAACAGATGCCTCCTTACCCCTTGCTTTCTCTTCATCTCCCCTCTTCCTTCTGTCTTTCAGTGCAACCATATCATTCTACCTCTAAAATAAAAGTAGTCCTCTCTGGACTGGAAAATAAGTATGCAAACAACACAGACCTGGAAAGCATTCACTGTCTATCAATACAATAATGAAGGCAGTAGAGGAATTCCAGAAAGGGAATTGTCACAGACTTAAGTTAAGGAAAGGCACAGAATCAGTGGATGTGATTTTAAACAGAAAAATATGAGAAATAAAAATACTTTTATAATTCTAAAGCAACTTTCTTTCTTAGGCCACAAACTTCTTCATCCATTTAACAGAAATCATCTATTTCATTCTTAAGCATATTGGAACAATTTACCTTCCATGTAAAACAAGAATATATTACAACTAAATAAAAGCAGTGATAGTAACTTCTAAGGTATCTGAAATACTGCTAATAACCGAGATCTAAAAGACACATGAGCAGACACTAGGATATATTTATTAGAAAATATTTTGGTCCTGGAATATTGATTACTTCTTTCATATTAAAGTCGAAAATAACAGTACTGTATATAAAAGTTGGAAGTAAGATTTCTTGAGATGGTGTCAGGTAGCCCATGAGGTCACATGATTGCAGTGTTACAATGCAGGTTTTTTAAATCTTATAGCCTCCAGTATTATGTTCTGTAGTGTCAGTGACAGCAATTAGAGAGGCTTCTAAACACAGTTGATATCTAAGGTTATGCTTAGCAATGACAAGTTGTGCCTCAGTCCAACTCATCAAATGTCCCATAGAGGTTCTGAGGATGACTCAGGCATTCTTTAAGTCGTTCCTGTTTCAGGTGCTTTGATGTTCACATAGGTGGACCATTAGACTTCTGCCTGTTTTCCCTACATATTTCATGGGACAGTTTCCACAGGGGATGCCTGCTGTGGATGTTGAGGTGTGGGACTTCACTTTGTAGAGACGTGCAGCAGGGCCCCACTTTATGGAGTTATGCCTTACGGTGTTCTGCTAATATGGCAATTTCAAATGAATAAATTTTGCTATATGGTGAGCAGTCTTTCAAATATGGCATGCCCCACCTGGACTGTTTACATTCTCCATAAGCACATCTCTTTATTATGTACTCTGATAATTATACTTATGTGTATCTGTACCTAAATATACTTACACACACTGCTGGCATACAGGTACACATTAAAATCACTAAGTCTCTCTACTCTTGAAGATGCCAAATTAACCCTTTCAGGGTCCAGAGGACAAATTTCAAAATGTGCACCAGGGTCCAAGAATTTAAAAAAAAAAAAATTATTTTTTCTTAGGAAATGGTAGAGAATCTTTTTCTGAAGGTAATAAAACAAACAGTATGAAATTTGATGGAAAACTGACGAAATTATGCTCTCGCAAATTTTGATTTGTCAGCGATATTTACGCATCAGTGATTTTGCCAACTTTGACTCCCATTTTAGCCCAATTACATTATTCCAGTCGACCAGATTCTTAGCTATTTCAACAGTATTACTTCTATTACATTGAAAGAGCACAAGAAATCGCCCAGTCAACTGTTTCAACTACAAAATACAGTAGGGCCCCACTTTACGGCATATCGCTTTACAGCGTTCCGCTAATACTGTCATTTCAAATTATGACCAAAACTCTATACGGCTCCCCCCACCTGACTTTCTAATATGGTCACCGTGCCCCACCCGGTTTGTTTACATTCTATGTGAGATCCGTAAGCACTAAGTCTCTCTATTATGTCTGGAAACTCCAAAATTTCAAGTGTTTTTAACCCTTTCAGGGTCCAAGGCCAAAATCTGAAGTGGTGCCCCAGTGTCCAAGAATTTTCAAAAAAAAAAAAATTTTATTTTTTTCTTATGAAATGGTAGAGAATCTTTTTGTGAATTTAATAAAACAAAAAGTACGAAATTTGATGGGAAACTGACGAAATTATGCTCACGTGAATTTTGATGTGTCAGCGATATTTACGAATCGGCGATTTTGCCGACTTTGACTCCCATTTTAGGCCAATTACATTATTCCAGTCGACCAAATTCTTAGCTATTTCACTAGGATTACTTCTATTCTATCGATTGAGCACAAGAAATCGCCAAGTCAACTGTTTCAACTACAAAATAAAGTGACCGGAAATTGGTAATTTGGCCAATTTAACACAAAATTCAAAATATTCCGATTTCAAAATAGGATCCAGAATAAACAATGTAGGTATTCCTGGCACTAAACTAATATTTCCTCTGTTCATTAGTTACGTTTTGAGGCTTTACAAATAAATTCCATTTTTATTTTTTATTCACATAATGATTTTTTATTCACACCAAAAAATAGAAGATTTACTGTTATGCAATATTGTAATAATTGTATAAATATCATCACCACATTTATGAATGTATATTAGACCCACCAGCTGGCGTGTATTAGACGTGTGAGGTCGTTTGTTTACTCTTGAACATCGGCAAAAATTTAACATTTCTGCCACTTTGAGCTCAGTTTCAAGCCATTTCCAGTGCTAAAACCAATCAAAATTATCTCTATTTCTGTAATATGTCTTCCATTCTATCAAATGAGACCAAGAAATCACAAATACAACTATAAAAAACATACGAAAAAACACTGCAAAGTCGCTGTTTTAATCGAAAATCACGGTCTCAGTTTTTTTCCTCTCATTATACACAGTGTTCTGCAGGATTTGTTTTATGTGGTGCACACATACCACATAGATGTATTCTCTCATATCTGGGCCCCCAAATTTACATACACATGTTTATCAGAGTGAGCTGAGGACTCATAATGAACTTTAGGATTCGATCGGTTTGGCACATTGACACTGTAAAGCCGTAGCATTACTGAGGCAGGGACCCTGAAAGGGTGCGTTTAAAGTTATTTCATATTTTATTTCTACCTCCGATAATTATACTTATGTATACCTGTACCTAAATAAACTTACACACTGTGCTGGTGTGCAGGTACACATTAAAATCAGTAGGAGTGTCTTATGTCTTGAGACACCTATTAGTAATGATAATAATAATCACCAAGTCTCATTAAATGTCATATATTACGTTAATGTATGCATATTTTCATTAATCCATCTATGATATTTTTTGAAAATTATATAATAAACACGATGCATAACATATAAAGATGATAAATACACCCCACAGTAGAATAAATAAACAAATATGAGATGTGGTAGCCAGACGACTTGCACAAGTGACTCCACATTAGAAATGATAATAATAGTGATAATAATCACCGAGTCTCATTAAATGTCGTATGTTACGTTAATATACACATTTTCATTAATCCATCTATGATATTTTTTTCAAAATTATATAATAAACACGATGCATAACATATAAAGATGATAAATACACCCCACAATAGAATAAATAAACATAAATATGAGATAGGAAAGGTTGGAGGGAGGGGGTAAAGGAGGTTTTGTGTGCTAGGGGCTTGGACTTCCAGCAGGCATGCGTGAGCGTGTTTGATAGGAGTGAATAGAGACAAATGGTTTTTAATACTTGACGTGCTGTTGGAGTGTGAGCAAAGTAACATTTATGAAGGGGTTCAAGGAAACCGGCAGGCCGGACTTGAGTCCTGGAGATGGGAAGTACAGTGCCTGCACTCTGAAGGAGGGGTGTTAATGTTGCAGTTTAAAAACTGTAGTGTAAAGCACCCTTCTGGCAAGATAGTGATGGAGTGAATGATGGTGAAAGTTTTTCTTTTTCGGGCAACCCTGCCTTGGTGGGAATCTGGCCAGTGTGATAAAAAAAAAAAAAAAAAAAAATGAGATGTCGTAGCCAGATAACTTGTATGAGTGACGGCAAGAACAACATTTTCTCTAGCCTAACATAAGAGACTGTGTTACTGGGGGTAACTGTAGAAAATTATTCCTTTCGTATGTATGTAAGTTTATTCAGGTATACACAAATACAGTTATATAGATTATCATACATAATAGCATGTGTAGAGAACCTAGGATAACCCAAAAAAGTCAGAGCGACTTATTTCCATTGCCTTCACTCAGAGCGTCATTTCTTCTAAAAATGGTGTTACATGAGAATGGGAGTGTTGTTCTTTATTTTTTCTACAGTATCACTGTAGAGACAACTTGTACACAAACCAGACGAGAACACTTGGTTTGTTTACAAAACTTGCGTTCGCC